GAGGAGGACACGGAGGAGGGAGCGGGCCAAGAACCTGCTAAAGGAGCCGAACAAAGTACGGACGCGGCCGTGCAGTGGCACCAGAACCAGCAGAGACACCCGCACCAAGGTCCTCAGCACCAGCAGCAGCTCCAACACCCGGGTCCGCAGCACCAACAGCAGCTCCAACGTTCGGGTGGGCAGCACCAGCAGCAGCTTGAACGTCCGGGTCCGCAGCACCAGCAGGAGCTCCAACGCCCGGGTCCACAGCACCAGCAGCAGCTCCAACGTCCGGATCCGCAGCACCTGCAGCAGCTCCAATGCCCGGGTCCGCAGCACTAGCAGCAGCTCCAACGTCCGGGTCCGTAGCACCAGCAGCAGCTTCAACGCCCGGGTCCGCAGCACCAGCAGCAGCACCAACGCCCAGGTCCGCAGCGGGGTCCGTGACACGAGGCGCGCCAGTCCGAAGAGTGCAGCGCCGCTCCTACCACTCACGGATTCGCTCATGGGAGGGGAGCTCCCGACTAGGAGGAGAAGTGCTAGCACAAGTCCCAGTAGGACGCCAGGTTCGAGAGGTGCCTCTCCTGAGGCTGAAGTACTGTAACTACCACTCACGCAGCTGCTCCGGGGAGAGGGCTTCTCCAGGTGGAGGACTCCCAGGGTCAGTACCTCCAGACTCAGAACCCCCAGACTCCTGACTTTGCGGCTCAGCACCCCCAAGCTCAGCACCCCCAAGCTCCACACCCCCAGGCTCAGCACCCACAGGCTCCACACCCTTAGGCTCAGCACCCACAGGCTCAGCACCCCCAGGCTCAGCACCCCCAGGCTCCACACCCCCAAGCTCCACACCCCCAGGCTCAGCACCCCCAGGCTCAGCACCCCCAGCGGGACGAGAGTCGATAGCTACCTCAACAGGCTCAACCGGGTCTACCTGAGACACACCTGAGGGAGCGGCACCCTCAGGGGGGAGGGGGTCTACAACAGCAGCACCTGGCGCGAGGAAGAGAGGCGGGGGGGGGGGGGGGGGGGGGGAGCGGGGCAGTGCGGTAGGGGAAGAGGCGGTAGTAAGGGACGTACTCGTCAAAACTGACGTCCTGAGAGGGGAAGACTCGGCGCGAGGTGGCATGGTAAAACTGCCAACCAGACGCGTCCGGGACAAAGCCGAGGAAGACGCAGGGATGAGCACGGGAGGACAGCTTGTCCGCACACGTATTGCAGACAAAAGCTCGAGATCCCCAGACCCGGAAACGCGACGCATCGCCAACCTCCCCTGTCCACAGCAGCGTGGGCGAGGTCTCCGGCAAGGAGACACGGGGCCAGAGGTTGAGCTGATGCGCATCGTACCGGACCGCAAACGGCCACAGAAAGTGGGGGGCAGCCGCATGTATCAAGGAGGTACGGGCGACCTCCATGACCAGGCCAATGCGGTGCTCCGCAACCCCATTCTGCTCTGGAGAGGCTGGTAGCGTGAACGACTGCTCAATGTCGGGCTCAGCACAGTAGGCTGCCAAGAGGTCGGAGGAGAACTCACCACCTCTGTCAGAGTGCAAGCGCAGGACAGGAAAGTCCGAGTGAAAACGCTCGCTGAGCTGGAGACGGGCTCTGCGGATCCAAGGGATCAAGACATCAGGGACCTCACCCTTGGTGCGCAAGGGGAAGACCGAGGTGTAGCGCGAGTAGTCGTCAACAACTATCAGGAAGTACCTCTCCTGACCCTGACCACGGGCGCGGGCTGGGCCCCACACGGCCATGTGGAGCATCTGCAAGGGAGCAGTCGTCGGGGGAAACGAGGAGGAGTGAGGAGCGGCGCGCTGCCGCCCCTTGAGACAGGGAAGATAGGGAGGAGCACGCGAGGGTGGGAGGGGAGGAAGGACCCTAGGCAAGCCAGAGACAAGGTACCGGGAGTGCATGGCACGAAGCCGCTGCACAGACGGGTGGCCAAGGCGGTGGTGCCAGAGGACATTCTCGTGCGCCAGAGAGCGACACGAGCAGGGGGCCGATAGCTGACGTGACGTGGACGCAGACGCAGACGCAAGCAACTTGAGGGGACTCAGTAGTCAGTCTGTACAGGTCCGACCCGGGCTGCCGAGTGAAGGTAGCCAAGTGACGGCCCGTACGAGCACACGTACAGTGTGTCACGCACTCGTAGGCAGGGGTGAACTGGTGAACACCCCCGTCCTGGAGCGCACATCCTGCCACCAAGTTTGTAGAGAACGAGGGGAGGTGGAGACCTGACAGTGTGCCCGACGGGACCGCAGGACAGGGAAGGACAGTGGAAGAGGTCGCAATGATCGGAACCCTAGAGGGGTCAGCAAGGGAGACAGCGACTGGCCGAGCAAGTGGCTCAAGGGCATTGCGGTCACGAAAGAAGCACCGAGAAGCACCTGAGTCCAGTGTGAAGGTGTGCAGTGCTGCAGTGAACTTAGTACCAAGGGAGGCAGACACACAAGCACCTAGAGCAGCTGCCTCAACAGCACCTGGGGTAGCCGACATGCAAGTACCTGGAGCGGCAGACGCACTAGTCCTAATGCCTGGGTCGGGCGGCACACACAGGTACTCAGCACCCTCTCCACTAGTAGACATCCCATACATAGCAGTGAGAATAGCATCAAAGTCTAGAGCATAGATATCAATCCCCTTCTTCAGGAGATCAATCCAGCAGGGCAGCTCAGTGGCCTGGGGGAACTGAACACGCCAAGCGTCGTCGAGACGAGCGAAGCAGCGCTGTGTGGCGTGTGGTCATCCACACTGTTGACCAGTGCGGTCACAAGTGCGAATGACGTACGTTCAGCTAAGACCATCCCCACCCCCGTGCAGAGAGTACCACTCACGGACCTCCTGGGGCAAAGGAGTGTGCTGCTGGCCCTGGCCACCGCCAGCGCCTCCACGACCACCACCACCGCCGCCACCTCCTCGACCACCCCAACCCTTGCCGCCGCCTTGTCCACCGCCACCCCAACCACCGCCTCCGCCCCTGCCACCTCCCCCGCCGCTGCCGCCACCTTCCCCACCGCTGCCACTAGTCCCTCTAGTCGTGCCACCACCCCCGCCGCCTCCTCCGCCCCCTCCGCCGCCTCCCCCTCCGTCACCACCACCACCCTTGCCCCCTTTGCCCTTGTCGCTGCGGCGCCCGCTCGAAGCAGACGCAGTGCCGACCTTCTCAGCACCAAGAAGGTTGACAGCAGCAGCACAGGCGATAGAGGGAAGAAGGGGGGAAGGAGAACACCCCTCAAAGAATGGGGTACGGGGGTCGCCACGAGAGGAACCTACAGCGACTATGCTAGTCTCAGCTGCAAGCAGTTCCTTCTCGAGGAGGGCAATGGTGAGCTCAGTGGGGCAGCGAGCTAGGAAGTGGTTCCTGACAGCACGAAGTGTGTCAGGGAGGCGGGTGACTAGGTGGTAGAGAGTGAGCTAGGGTGGAGGGGGGTGCGTGGCAAGGAACTCAGCGGGCATGGCGGCACGGAAGCGGGCCTCACTAGTACGGAGGTGTGTGATGAGGTCAGCGACTGTGTGGAATGAGGCCAGGTCGGGAAACAGTTAGGGGAGGGAGAGACAGCCTAGTGCGGCAGAGGCAGGTGAGGAGTAGCGAGCAACTACAGGTGTGTACAGTGCCTGTGCAGTCTTGTGCTGGCCAAAGTGCTCGCGTTCGTCTATCGGCAGGGAGTTGCGAATAGCGAAGCGAGCGTGGGCATCACGAGTCTGCCACTGTGAGCGAGCAGTGCTGTTAGCAGTAGCAGCAGGGGCAGTGACATGGCCTAGGGCGTGATCGTACAGTGAGATGTCATCCTTGGCTGTGAGCTGTAGGTAGAGGTGCAGGTCATCTAGCCAGGTGTCAGACTTCACTGGGCGGCCCTCAGCATAAAAGACTAGAACCTGTGGGCTAGCCATAGGAGGAGTAGAAGTAGCAGTAGTAGTAGTAGTAGTAGTAGTAGGAGAAGCAGTTACGGCGGCTCAGTTCGGGCAGGGCGGCGCGGCTTGGGTGGGGAGGCTTGGTTCGGGTCGGGTCGCGCGGCTCGGCTGGGTTCGCGCGGCTCGGCTCGGGTCGCGCGGCTCGGTTCGGTCGCGTGGCTCGGTTCGGTCCCGCGGCTCGGTTCGGTCCCGGGCTGTGGCGGTACGTGGCCACTCGGGGCCTCTAAGGACGGCGCGCGCGGGGCCAGTTGGGGCCTCTAGGGACTGTGGGCGCGGGGCCGACGGGGCCGTTTGGGGCCTTAGGGAGGTGAGCACGGGGCCGTGTGGGGCTTTAACGGGGCCTCTAGGGGCCGACGGGGCCGTTCGGGGCCGATAGGAAGGTGAGCGCGGGGCCTAACGGGGCTGATTAGGGGCCAACGGGGCCGTTTGGGGCCGCTAGGGAGGTAAGCACGGGGCCGACGGGGCCGTTTGGGGCCTTAGGGAGGTAAGTGCGTGGCCGTTCGGGGCCTTAACGGGGCCTATTAGGAGTCGACGGGGCCGCTAGGACGGTGAGCGCGGGGCCTAACAGGGCCACTAGGGGCCGACGGGGCTGTTTGGGGCCGCTAGGGAGGTAAGCGTGGGGCCGTTCGGGGCCTTAACGGGGTCGACGGGGCCGCTAGGAAGGTAAGCGCGGGGCCGTCAAGGGAGGGGGCCTCTAGGGGCCGACGGGGCCATACTAGGCCTCTAGGGAGGTAAGCGCGTGGGCCGTGTGGGGCCTCTAGGGGCGGGCCGTCGGTGCCTTAGGTGGGTAAACCGAGGCGCCCTAGGGCGCAGGTAGGTAGGTAGGTAGGTAGTGGTGGGCCCTTAGAAAATTCGGTCCTAGGAAGGACCTACTCTATACCATGTTAGAATAACTGAACAGGAATGATTGGACTAGCAGTGAAAACAGTACAAGTACCTAACCCTAGAATTGTGTACCCCCTATAGGCTAACCCACTGTAGCCTAAACAAACACAACAACATATATAATGTTTGACAGCTTCATGGAGCCCCCGCTGCCCACTCCTCCGTCGCTCTCGCTTTCCCCCTTCACACTCCCCTTAGCCCGTCACCCTCGCTTTCCCCTCGTCGTCATGGCTTCCCCTGTCGGTCTCGCTTTCCCCCGCCACACACTCCTTCCCCCGTCTCTCTCGCTTTCCCCCCCTGCCCACTCCTTCTCCCGTCGTTCTCGTTTGCCCCTCGTCACCCACTCCTTCCCCCGTCGCACTCGTTTTCCTCCGTCGCCTCTGGCTTTCCCCCGTCGTCCTTGCTTCCCCCATCGCCCTCGCTTTCCCCCGTCGTCATTGCCTTTCCCCGTTGCTCTCGTTTTCCCCCGCCGCCCACTCCTCCTCCGTCGCTCTCGCTTTCCCCCTTCACACTCCCCTTAGCGCGTCGCCCTCGCTTTCCCCTCGTCGTCAGTGCTTCCCCTGTCGGTCTCGCTTTCCCCCGCCGCACACTCCGGCCCCCGTCTCTCTCGCTTTTCCCCCCCTGCCCACTCTTTCTCCCATCGTTCTCGTTTGCCCCCGTCACCCACTCCTTCCCCCGTCGCACTCACTTTCCCCCGTCGCCTCTGGCTTTCCCCTGTCGTCCTTGCTTCTCCCATCGCCCTCGCTTTCCCCCGTCGTCGTTGCTTTTCCCCGTTGCTCTTGATTTCCACCGCCGCCCACTCCTTCTCCGTCACTCTTGCTTTCCCCCTTCACACTCCCCTTAGCCCGTCGCCCTCGATTTCCCCTCGTCGTCAGTGCTTCCCCCGTCGGTCTTGCTTTCCCCCGCCGCACACTCCTTCCCCCGTCTCTTTCGCTTTCCCTCCCTGCCCACTCCTTCTCCCGTCGTTCTCTTGCTCCCGTCACCCACTCCTTCCCCCGTCGCACTCGCTTTCCCCCGTCGCCTCTGGCTTTCCCCCGTCGTCCTTGCTTCCCCCATCGCCCTCGCTTTCCCCCGTCGTCATTGCTTTTCCCCGTTGCTCTTGTTTTCCCTCGTTGCCCACTCCTTCTCCGTCACTCTTGCTTTCCCCCTTCACACTCCCCTTAGCCCGACGCCCTCGCTTTCCCCTCGTCGTCATTGCTTCCCCTATCGGTCTCGCTTTCCCCCGCCGCACACTCCTTCCCCCGTCTCTCTCGCTTTCCCCCCCTGCCCACTTCTTCTCCCGTCGTTCTTGTTTGCCCCCGTCACCCACTCCTTCCCCCGTCGCACTCACTTTCCCTCGTCGCCTCTGGCTTTCCCCCATCATCCTTGCTTCCCCCATCGCCCTCGCTTTCCCCCGTCGTCATCGCTTTCCCCCGTTGTTCTCGTTTGCCCCCGTCGCCCTTTCTCTACCCTCTCACCCACACTTGTCACCGTCCCCCATGCTTTCCTGAGTCGCACACGCAGTTCCCCGGCGCCCACACTTGTCACCGTCCCCTGTCGCTCTTGCTTTCCTCTGTCATCCTCCCTCCCTTTCCCCTATCGTCATTACTTCCCCCATCGCCCTCGTTTTCCCTCGCCGCCCACTCCTTCTCCCGTCGCTCTCCCTTTCCCCCGCAGCCACTACATCTCCTGTCGCTCTCTCTTGCCTCCGACACCCACTCCTTCCCACGTCGCCGTCGCTTTCCCCCGTCTCCCTCCCTTTCACCCGTCGTCCTTACCCTCCCCGTCGCTCTCACACACTCCTCGACGCTCTCGCTTTCCCCCGTCGCCTTAGTTACACACCGTTGTCATTGCTTTCCCCCGTCGCCAGCTCCTTCCCCTCTCGCCCTCCCCTTCCGCTCCCGCCTTTTCTTGACCCCCGCCTTTGGCTCCCCCGTCGCTTTTGGTACACCCGTCGGTTTTGGTACACCCCCCACCATTGCTCCCCCGCCCTCGTCACCTACTCCTGCCCGGTCGCCCTCGTTTCTCCCCGTCACCCACCCGTTCCCCCTTTGCCCACGTTTCCATCCGTCTCCCACCCTTCCCGTGTCACCATCTCTTACACCCACCGCCCTCGTAAGCCCCCTGCCTTCCCTCTACCTGATACCTTTGGCTGTGTGCACTCAACTGCCTCCTTCTCCCCCCGCTCCTTCGTTCAGGGATCCTTCCACCCTCAGCAATCTCTCATTACTCCTCCCTCCTCACCACCCCTCCGCCTGCCCCTCACCACCACCCTCCCATCTCTTCTTATAGCAGATGGCTTATAATTGCGGAGTGTGCGGAGCTGCCGGGTTCTCTGGTAGGGGTCCGCTCACAAACCATCAAAATGGCGAAACGTGCAGAGCCACCACCGCAAATCGTTCTGCCACTGCTGAATCTTCACGCTCCATGCAACTTCCACGCATCCACGCAAGCTACAATGCCACAGCTTATGTTGAACATACCCACAGCAACTGCACCCATGCCTGACACCCCGCAACCTCCTCCTCCTACTTCAGTCCCCACGATTCCTGAGCCCGAAACCTACACAGAGGAGAGAGCTGAAGGTGATGGCGTAGGGGATGGTGGGGCGGCATCGGGAGGTGAGAGCGACACATTCAAATTTGCAGATGCATTCGCTCATTTCCTCCTTACCTCCAATCTGTCCAAAAGTGCTATTGATAAGTTGCTCCTCATCTTGAACCTTGGTTCAAAGTTCAATGACGACAGTTGTCGTTTTCAGAAATGCGCGAGACGTTGAAAAATACGTCGATGAACGCATCCCAGATCTTCACCGTAACTAGAGACGAGGTCTTGTGCGCGTACAGTCAAAAGCTTCGTTAGAGTTCTTTTTTTGTGATGGTGTCATTGGGATGATTGACCTTCTGACACATCCAAAGAATGCGGACAAACTCGTTCTTAAACCCACGTCACGCATCCCCGGTGAGACACATGTGTACTCATCACCCGAATCCAGGGATTGGTGGTTTACTTTGCACAATGAGGTCAAAAAAGTGGAACCGGACGGGGTCGTGGTTGCTCTGATATTGTCGAGCGATGAGACATACATGGACCAAAGAGGCAAGGCCAAGGGTCATCCAGTGTACCTGACACTGGGAAACATTGACAAGCATGACCGTTGGAAGCCATGGGGCCATGTACTGCTTGCTTTGCTTCCTGAATTCACGCCTCAGTACGATTCGCTAGACAAGTTTATTGTCTTCCAACACATCCTGTCAATGGTCATGGAACCATTGCGAAAGGCCTCACACACCAGAGTGAGGGTCCTAGGACCCTACTGGTGCCACGTACAACGCGTCGCCTGGTTTGTACGCATACGCACGTGACTATCCTGAGTCGTGCAAGGTGAATTGCACAAAATCGGGGGCCACAGGCTTCCCATGCTCGTTGTGCACAGTCCCTGTTGCTGAGACCAACAAACTACTTGCCTCGCATTGTCCCTCGTACTCCACACTTGCAAAAGGGCATTACCTCGCTTTTGCAAATGCGGTTGTTTCCGAAAGGCGTGTCAAGCATGTCAACACATTCGGTGAATTGTTTTTCGTGGGGTTGGCGTTGGTCATCTATTCCTATTTTGAACCCTTATTTGAGCGGCATGCCTGATATCATGCACCAGGCAGAATTGGGAATTCTTGTGCACATCATTGACGTTTTCCGTACACAACCCACCATTGCTAAAAAAAAAGAGGCCGACGAGAGAAAAGCCTACTTGCGGGAGCACAACCGCAACCCGTTCATGCGCCTGCCTGGGGGCGAGTATTTCTCCTCAGGCGCGAGCTATTAGGCGTATGAGCATAGGAGTGTCATGCAAGTCCTTCCTTTTCTAGTGCGTGGCTTTGAGTTGACTGTCCCTCAGGTGCAGATGGATGCGATTGCAACTTACATTGACTGGTACACCTACTGTGCCCGCGCCAGTGAGCATACGACAGAGACGCTGCGTGATTTGAAGCACAAGGCCGAAAGGTATGTCCATGTGTTACTATACTATGCAGCGCGTGCATGCAATATGTCGTTGCACATGTAAGACTACCACTATGGGATTCTAGCCAATGCCTTTCTGCTCAAACATATCTTCCGCCACCATCACCATTGTATGGCAGGTTGATTTTCACCCTCAAATCAGCCTTTCCTCTACAGATGTCAAAGTGGCGCTTCATCAAGATGCACCTGATTAACCACTACATTGACTCGATCCGTCGTGCTGGCTTGCCAGAGCACTACTCTACGCAGATGTTTGAGCACCTGCACATGGAGTACATCAAGAACCCTTATAGAGCATCGAACCGGCGCACGGCCACTACACAGATCATGAATAGTGAGGTGATGCGTCTGCGTCTAAACTCCATTGCATCAGTTCTCGGCAAGCGTAAAGCCTACGACACGTGCATGGTTGAGGTGAGTCCTAATCTATTCATAGTTGACTTGGTCGTACACCTTTCACCTCGTAGATATACCACTCATTCCTATTATACACGATCATGCATGCAGGCTCAACGGACGGGGGAAAGGGTGATGACTCGAGAGAGTTGGAGGCTGCTGGTCCCTGCCAACCGGCTAGTGGCACCCTTCGTGGTCCCGTTGACACCTGATGCTGACCGAGATAGCGAGTTCTTGACAGCGTTATCTGCGGACCTTCCCTTCCTATGTGGCGCTATGAATGAGGCACCTGCATGCTCGGGAAGTAGCATCGTCACCATCCACGTAAGATGATCCCTTGAATCTACCACGTCATCCCCCTCCTCTCTCTTTCCCCCTTTTGTTGCTATACAAAACGGTGGCATCTCATCCCTCTTTCACCATTCTTCCCTCTCTCTGTGACATACTCATAATCCCGTCCTTCCCCTGCACCATAACTATACCCACAGATCAACAACGGGTTGGCCATGCCAACTGCAATTGATGCGGCATTTAGCCGCCTACCTCATCACGTTCGTGCTGCGCCGATGTTCTATGGTCGGCCATGGTTCTCCAACATCGCAGTTGTTGGGGAGGGTGACAATGCAGAGCCTCTCGAATGGTCCGCATTGGGAGATTGCTGGTGCCATATGCTTTCATAAAGTACTATGACTCAGCCCCCTCCAAAGACATAGCTACTAAGTGCACAACTCTCACTTGGGCTGACTCGCCTCAACGCTATAGTGTGATTGCAGTAACCAGTATCCTATGGGCGGTAGAGCTGGTCCGGACTGCGCCATGCAAGGACGTGTGGCTAGTTAATAAGTTCATGCTCTAAACTAGTAATCCGTAGGATAATAATGGGTATTCCCTTTTGTCACTTCAAACCATAGTGATTGACCTGTAGAAACTTAATGCAATACACGCATAGACAATGTCGTATCGCTTTGCGTACAACACAATTATACAATTTCAACAAGTCGTCAAGTTTGCTGCATGATCACAACCAACAAATCCTTAAGGGCCTAGTAAGGGCTTCATCAAGAAGGAAAGCATGAAAGTGCAAAACGGGGGCCTGTATTGTAATGTAGTCGTTCGTTTCACTATTGATCATGTTAGGAAAATTGTTTGTAATGGATATATTTGTGACATGCTGAGGTGGCACGCGACAACAAAGGAACTACCATGGTGGGTGGATGAGATTGACTACCGGACGCGACGCGCGGCACATAGCTGCTCGCGTGCGATACAGAATGCATGTGAGTTGGACTGTGGGCCCAGATTCCTAATTCTACCAGTTCGGGCCATGGGCCCGTGGCCCTTTTTGTTTTTTACTTCGCATTCATTCATCATTTTCCTGTGGTTAGGTAGTCTCTAGTTACGCGTGAAATAATTTTTGTTTCGAATCCAAATAATCCCTATATGAACGAAATGCATGAAACATGCAAAACTGCGGAAATACGGGCAGGGATGCATTACTACCTAAAGTTCCGACAGCGAAACAGTAAAATACCGTGGCTGCCAAAACGAAACCATGTAAACACGTTGACGCGCGACGCAACGCCACGACGCAGTCTTTCCGCATAGGACGGAATCGTCCACTCACCGCCAATGTAATCTGCCAGCTGGAACAGGTGAGGCATCTGCGTGGCAAACCTCGTGAGAAAAAAATAGTCATTCATTAACCATAAATAGCCGCATCTATCGTCTGCGACTCTTGTCAGTTGCAAACGCGTCGTTATGTCTGGTGTGGTTGGTACAGCGTGTGGCGGGAAACGATTGTTGGCACCGGATGACCAAACGGGTCTGGTTACTCTCGGGTAAGATGGTGCAGTGCTGGACGACACGGCGATCGAAAGCGACTCCGACGAACCTGTCGCGAAGTTCCACGAGCTCGTGTCAGAACATTATAGCTTATACATTTGTGTAGGCTGTAGTGGGGTAGCCCACAAGGGGTACAACCCAATTAGGGTTAGTACTTGTACCCAACTGTTTCATAGTTCATTCATCCATTCTCACTTCTCGTCATGGTATCGAACAGGTTCCCGAGTGGGAATACTGCCTAGGGCCCACCACGAAATTTTTTTTCCTTTCCCTGCCCGGAGCGCGCTTTGCTCCTAACCCAAGTAGCGCCTCGACCCGCCCTTAGTGGCCCCCGTTGGCGGCCCTTACGGCCCCTCACGCCACCTTCTATGGCCCCTTACGAACCCGTCTGGCCCCTTACGGCCACGTCGCGGCCCCGCTTAGGCCCCTCACGGCCCCGTCGCGGCCCCGCTTAGGCCCCTTACGGCCCCGTAGCGGCCACGCTTGGCCCCTTACGGCCTCGTCGCGGCCCCGATTAGGCCCCTTACGGCCCTGTCGCGGCCCCACTTAGGCCCCTTACGGCCTCGTCGCGGCCTC